ACATTTTATATAAACCGCGTGGAGCGGTTTAAGGAATCACTCGACCAATCAGATTGCTGGAAACTCTTTGCTCAGCTCTAAAATTATACTAAAAAATGTTAAAATAAAATGTTAATAAATGTCACTAAAATGTTATGATTTTAGAAATTTCTCTGTTGTTCAGCTCTGAAATTATACAAAAACAATTACTCGCCTCAGGCTCGGTGAATTATTCGACGATATTCACCTCGAAGTCTTATTTTTCAATATATTTTTTTCCCTATTTATTCATTTTTCTTTTTTTAAACGTTAACCATCAACAAGAAACCTACTTTGTACTACTTCACTGATAATGACACTTCCTTTCCCCCTCCCCCAGCTATTTCCACACCCCATCTGGAAATGATCCAGCGAGAGAAAGGAAAGGCTTCTTCGCGCGATTACTTAATTTTTTCTAGTTCCAGGATCTTCGAGCAAAGAAGGCGGTCATTTATCAGCGGTCTTTTTGTAGAGTATGCGTAGTGACCATGACAACTTTCAATAATTTACTGACAGACGAGAACTAGTATTCCAAATCCTAGAGAAAATACGGTTACACTTTTCGAAATGATAGGATGGAAAATATCAGCAAAGTGGATGCGAGAGCATTGGCCTCAAACTTGGTGAAGAATATGCAAAAGTCCATTCTGACACCAGATGCTGATGTCAGAAACTCGTCTGTCGTCACAACTTCTTTCGGATCAAACGCTAAGCCTGAAGTTTGTGAACAAAGTTGCAAAGTCGAAGAGTTAAATTCTCATCATCGAGGTACCTGCAATCTAGATCCAAACATTTCTCTGGGTTTTCAGAAGTTTGCAGTTGATGGAGGTAGTGGAGATGCTTTCGAGCGGAAAGTCACGTCTTTCGAACGTTCGTCAAAACAATCGAATACGAAAGTTCGCCAGTCGTATGAATCACAAGGGGATGGTGGGCCAGAGAAAATCTTGAACGGAGAAACGAGTTCTAAGAGTACTCCAAGAGTGAACGTCTCGTTTATTCGCCAGAAGCGTTTAGCTTTCTTCGACAACAGCCTTGGACCGAAGGAAGGAGGAGGATATTTATTGCAAGACAATAACCGTAATGTTTTGACCAATATTTCTACTAGCGACTCGCCCGAGTTACATGTAGAGGCTCGTAAGTGTAGCTCCTCGAGTGCAAAGCAGTTTGATGTGCCTTTGCCTTCAAAGTGCAACGGTTACGCAAGAAATGATTCATTAGACAGGATGTATCAGTCGAGATCGTCAGAAACGCCTTTCTTGTTGCATTCTGACAAGGGTACCAGTATGCCTTATCCATACAAGTCACCTCCAGTGACGGGACTGGATCATGATGAAGAAGACTTCAGACTGGAGTTATGGGGCCTAAAAGAGGCTGTGCATTCTGGAGAGCTTGATATAAATGCATATGTCAGAAAACCAACATGGAAAGGTGACTGCTATTCCAGCTCGTTACCAGGAAAATGTGACGATGATAATAATGATTTGCACTCTGGTGGTAAAATTTCAAGCTATGAGAGAAGCAAACCTATCAAAATTCCCAAAAGTCCACCTAACAATCAATATCTCTTTTATGCCAAGGATGATCATGGTGGCAAATTTGCAAATGAATTAAATGCTGTTGACAGTGGATATTATTCTGAAGAATACAGAACGTATTGCAATCCCACACAAATTTCTCATGGGGAACATATTTCAAATGGTTTTGATGGCACTGAGCCACAGATAAATGGTCCACTCTATTATGGTTTTGAAACTTCTGATTCTGAGAGTAGTATGTTAAGTTTTGGCTCTAAGTGTGATGACGTTCACTACCGCAAAGTTGTCAAAAAGCAAGATCCCCTTGTTAGGGAAGGAAGACTTCATGGAAAGCAGCCAAGAAATGGTTACAAGCAACAAGAGAGAAAAGCCAAGCCTAAGAAAGGGAAAGAAAAAATTCTTATGGAACTGACTGAATTTATCAAAGAATCAGAAACTCCAAAATATATGAAGGAATCAAGGCAGGGTAGAAGAGCATCTGATATTATGAATGGAGACAATGGATTAGATGCATTTTCACCAAGGACTTTGAGGGATGGTTTAGTGGAGGAAACATCTGTGACAAATTCAAATCATGATCTAACAATAGAAAGTAAAGTTTGTGATCAAAGTGTTGCTGGTTTAAGTAATCATCCCAAACAAAGTAAAGGGGTTAAAGAGCTTGAGGAAAATCCAGGAGATGTCATGGGAAAGATTTGTCCAAAGTGTGATGAAATTAACAGTAGGGCTGCTAATTGGTGTATTGAGTGCGGTACGGCACTAATTTGTGTACAAGCATCTTGTTTAACTACACAACAACAAAAACACTTTGAAAAGCAATGTCTGGAGACCCAAGCCTTAATTAAGGAAACTTTGAAAACATCAACAAACTTGTCTCACATTTTGTCGAGTGATAAAGCTTTGAAAGATGAAAGCTCTTTGAATAATGACATATCCAGTCTCTCTTTACAAGCCTCTCAAAGCACGAATGATTTGCAGGAGAGGAAGTACTCTTCTAGTCCTCAAGGCTACAAACGCCGCTGGATACGCTCAAGCATTGCTTGGAGTAGTTACCATTCTAATGAACTTTCAAAGAGTCACTCATTTGGGAAAGAAAAAATGAAAGAGAGGAACAGAGCAACATCCTTTTCAGATCTTGTGACCTGTTCTTCAAATGAGAAAGGTGGCAAACATAAGAGACATGGTCGAAACAGGTCTACAAGGCAAAGAACAGTGAGTTGTAGCTCATTTGGAACTGAAGATGAAAGAAGAAGACCTGATCAAAGGTCACAAACTACTTTGGGAAAAGACTGTCAGAGAGAAAACAATCCTAGGACATGTGTTGTGGATAGATGGAGTCCCCCTGTTGAGAAACAGAATAAAAGAACAAAGAAGGCACAGCGCATGGTTGATCAGAGAATCCCTCTGGAAACCCAGTCATGTCCAAGTCTGGTGAAGGTGTGTAATGTGTATAATTTATAATGCTGATCAACTATTTCAAATTTTCCAAATCAGTATAACATTTTTTTTCATTTTTCAGTTTGCATTAATGAATATCTGGAAATAAAATTGTTGTTACAGTAGTTTCTTGGTTATAAGGCACACAGTTTTTCAAGAAAATTCTGTCTTTGGGTGCAAAGTTAGGGCTGAAATTAGGGTGCATCTTATAGCCAGGTATTTTTGCGTAACAAAATTTTAAGATCAGAATTTTAGTAGAACTTGCTGTTAAAATGACAAGAAGTAGACACTAATTGTTGGTCATTGACTTCTTTAGATTTAATGGTTCTGAAAAGAACTGGGGTGGCTCTGAAAATAACCATTTTATCTTGTATGTCTTCAGCTAGTCTTCCTCCTCACTCCCCTCATCAGACAGCAACTAGGAGAGAGAGGAGAAGACAAGGAGGAGACTCGTTCTCCAACTTGTAGTCTGCCTCATCTGCTCCAGCTCCTTCTTATTATATCAATTTTGTGGAAAAATTTTGGTAAAGGAAACATTCACAAGAGAACATGTCCATTGTTATTGACCGAAAGCCATAGGTGGTTGAACTTCTAAATGAATGAATTAAATGATTCTGTTTTAGAGCTCAAGCTCCTCTTCTCTGAACCAGGAGAAAAAGCCTACTATGTCACAGGCTGCAGAAGCTATTGTACCACCTCTGAATCTTCAAGGTAAGGATCTTTTCAACCCTTTCCCTCCCAACAGTGACCAAGACATAATTTCTCCTTACAAAATAAATTCTACAAATCAAGCAGATGAGTTACAAGAAAGAAAAGAAATACCAAGTGGGGGATCACCTGCATCAGTTGATTCAATACTAAATTCTCTAAACTAAAATTACAACCAATGCATTGTCAAAAGTATGGAGAATTACTAAAGAGAACTTAAGGGTGAAAAGGTTACTGACAGGGTCTTGGTTGCATTCTTGGGCAAGAGCCTTTACTTCAGTAGTACCTCTCTCCACCCAGGGGAAGTACATGTATAGAATAATGGATGTTAAGGAACTCTCAAAGAAGCTGTACAACTTAAGGGTGGCTGGAGTGGGGGTGTAGGGAAATCTTGTACTGAACAGGGGATGCAAGAAATAAGCTATAAGGTCCTTGAAAATTTCTGAAATGTACTTGAAAATAAGTGCAGATGAATCAAAATCGAAGTTTTTTTTTTGTTTTCGGTGTTGAAAGTGTAAGTTTCTAGCCCAACTCACAAAAACGAGTTTTCCTTTCAAAGCCTTCATCCAATTATGTTTGACACATGTTCTTTATATATTTTGTACCTGATTGGTGCATTGAAAATAACCTTGGTTACCTAGCACTTGATCTCTCTGATGCACATGCTTGAAGTCATGCTCATTGGACTTTTCGGCCAGTCCTGCATGCATGCTTGTGTTATTGAAATGCTATATATAGGGATGTTTTTTATTTCTATTAGCTCCAATTTAATGCAAAAGGTCCTTGAAAATGACGTGAAATGTCCTTGAAAGTCCTTGAATTGGGTTCCTGAAAAAGTGCAAGAACCCTGTGTTCATACCTGTTCATGTACTACATGTTCAAAAGACTTTTTATTCTTGGGTGTATTTTATGCAAAGGCATAAAATGTAAGTAATGAGCAAGTACAGTATATACATGTGTACAATGTACCTGTACATGTAATGATGAAAACAACAACATGGTCTCCTTTCCTTTTTCAGATGTTGAAAGTTATGACAGAATTTTGACTCTGGTAAGTTGTATAAGTTGTCCTTTTGTCTGAATGTGGTTCTTTCGATTTGGATTCCCTATGCATTGACCTTGAAAATTCTAGCATCTTACAGCGCTGTACAAGAAGTAGTATATATGGATGTCTGGATCAGGATGTGCAGTATGTTCATATGTACACATACCAAGGAACCCCAGTTTTTTAAAACCCTTTTGGTGAAAAAAGATTTCGTTGGAATTAATGGATTTTCACATAATAGGAGATGAAATTGTGGTGTATGGCTAGGCAGCGAGGTAGTTTTGGTTTTAATCGTTGAAAGTCTAGAGAAATTGATTTTTTTGGAGGTTAAAAAGGTAAAGTCTGTACTCAAGCCTATTGTCCACCCCCCCCCCAGCTGAAGCTTATCCCATTTTCTATCTAACATGAAGGGGCAAGGAGTACTACTAC